CAATTTTAGGAAATTCCTAGTATGGTTAGAATTATATTGGCATCCGTGAAGTTTGTGTAATGTTTTTTTAAAAACACTATGGGATATATTTAACTTCACTTATTATTTATTTAATATGTTTCTACTTCTTGAAATTCTCAGTTAACTGGGAGGCGGAGCAAACAGTTTGTTCTAAAATGAACTTGGAAATTCTAAACAATTTTTTTTCTGTTGGTTTACTTAAAGTCTATAATGTTCTACTATGAATGCAAATCTATAATATAGTATTAATTTCCAGTCCCACCCTCAAAAACTATGAGATTTTATAGTTTAATTTTTATAACGTATCAACACATTATTTTTAATTGGTCACCAAACTGATTCTTGAATTTTTGAATTAGTAGTTGCAAGAGTACGCAAAACTGCAGAGAGTCCTTGAAAATGCTTTTGCAATGATATAGTTTTAAATTATAAAAGAAACCCTTCACAAAATTGTATTAACAGGACCAGAGGACCAAAATGCACATGGTATTTCATTTGTAGGAGGCAAAAAATTCAAATCATATTAATTTATGATTGCCAATAGATTTTGGGTTTCCTTAAAAACAATTATATAGAACTGTCTGCAAATGTCGATAAAACTAATTTTATAAGAAATGGTAGATTCTTCTGTTGCTCTGTAGGCGACTATTTTGGTCACACAAGGAAGTCCAAACTTATATCTTAGTTTGAACAACGTCATCTTGATTTTACATTGTACAAAATACATAATCGACACATAGGCTTACTAAAAAAAGTAGTAAAGACAGTGACTTGTGATGAACCGCGCAGGCATCTTAACTCTTAGACTGACGTTTTCCAAACGAATATAGAAGTTAGATCCACATTCTTCATTTTAGACTTGAAATAAGTTTGTTTGTGGGTAAGAGCGAATGAGTAAGCATGAACAATAATTAATCCCCTTTACCCTTCTCCCCGACACGCCACCATACCACGGCATCTTACTAGCAGAGCTCAAGGTCATTGACGTATTTGTAATGAACTAAATTTAGACTTCCACCTCCCCAATGTCACCCAATGTCACCAACCCAAGGCCCTAGGTTGGTATGTAACAATTAATGACGGTTGAACAATGACCTTTAAAATATGCTTTTAATTTGTTTTCTAGCGTTTACCGTATCTTACAAAAAGTTAGTTTACATAATTAATACTTAACAAAAACTTTTTGGGCGAAAGAAAAATTCTCAAAAGCTACAAATTGATTTATAATATATGTATCTATATCGTATTAAAGGTTTGGCGTTTGGTTTACAATGTCTTTTCAAAGTCAAAAGATGGTTTCTGAAACTCTTTATACAACTATTCTTTATAAATTAAAAAAAAATATGATCCAAGAAATTGAGCTCTTTAGCCACAAAATCCACCGTTTTTTAACTAACCTGACAAAAAAATTAAAACAGTAGCAGCCGACGAACTTTTTTATGTCATATTTTAAAACTCATTTAAAAGTACAGACTTTATTTCAAGATTTAAAATAGAAAATAGAAACTTTTCAACTGCTTGTATGTTAGTTAGATAGGCGTGCTCCATCTATTGGTCTTATGTGATTGTTGATTTAAACTAACGGAATTCTGATGAAAATTTGAACATGAATTATTAGCAGTTTTGCAGGGATGATAAACAATAGTTTTTTTTTTATTTGAATTGCTTGTCAGTTGGCAACAAATCTTAGAGATTTGTATACATTTTTTAGGACAAAATTGAATTGGCAGATATCATGGTGAAGAAGCGTACTAGAAAAAGTTACTGTCGCCTCATCCAATTTTTACAACAGTCAGCTGTTGACATGCTAGGCGAGCAACCGCGACAGTGAGGACGGGGAACAGCTTATTTCATGTTCCTAGTTGGCAAATTGTCTGCTAGCTACTAACGTACACATGCATAAGCCATCAGCGGTAGCACCAGTAGCCTCATATAAACACTTGTGTTAAGGTTTAAATACAGTAGTCAATGCTATTACTGAATTTGATACTATACATTTTGTTACTAATATACGAAATGGAGAAAAACGTTACCTTAAAAATACAAAATTTCCCAATTTATATCCAGACCTTTTTAAATAGCTTAAAAAACAAATAATTTTGCATATCAAAGTGTTTTTGTACGGTTATTGGTAACAGGACAAATTCAAAAATTGTAAATTTAAAATTCCCATGTTATTCTTATAAAGAATATTGTAAAATGTTGTAGTTTGCTTGTTTATGGATATATTTTGATCAAACTTGGCAAATTTATTTTTACACTTACAAAACTATTTGGATCATGAACGGTACTCTAGTTTTCTCAAGGTAGGACGCGTGAATTGGAATTTTGGCGTTACAGACACAATGACAGAAACAATCAAACAAACGTACAGATATTGACATAAGACTCGTTTCGGCTTTCTTATTATATAACACGTAGAAATAACCAAACACTTCATGAATCTACGCAATGTACAGACAAAACAGTAAAGACTTTATAATGTTATAATTAACTATAGTGTTTCTGACCGTGCTTCGCAACGGGGTGAGAATCTTTGGGTCTCTAAATCCACCGTAAAAAATAGTATATTTCGTACCTAGGGCCGAAAGCGAGGTTTTGCCGACTCGAGATCGGGTTTTAAGTTCGAGACGAATTTGAGAACGTGAAACGATCGAGAGCTGCAAACCCATTTTGGCTCGTGGTACGAACGCTATTTTTTACCCAAGTATGTTTTGCAATATAACGTCCCTCTTATTTAGGTGAAATATTTTGAGGAATCAGCAAAATCAAAAATAACAATAAATAGTTGTCTAGGCAACTGTGACAAAAAAAAACAAGTCTATTGCAATGCCATGAATACAGCTTGTGCATTTAATATACATTAATCTTTTAAGTAAATAAGCGAACAAGTGATTTTGCGGCCCTAGGGATGTAAACGCCTGCTCGGCCCCCATATGAAGATGACAGCTGGCATGGTCAGAAAAACATAACTTTCAGCCACCCATTAACGTATGTAAAACAACTAAAACATCATAGTGTGGTGAAAAATTCGTTACACATACTTTTACATTACCATGAATTAGTTATATGCATACAGAAAAAACGGAGTCACTCTTATTGCGTATTTTAAGGTAAATTTCTTGTTTATTCCCATGAAACTGATAATTTACCCAGCACATTAAGACCTTCAATCCAAGTATCTAAGTTCGTAAACCACGCATGTAATGTGACGATAAAATATCAACGACATAGGATGTAGTTTTATGTAATCCTCACGACATTTCATTTGGTCCATTGACTTTAAATCCAATAATTGTCAAAATTATTGGAGCTTGGAAAAAACTGCATGTAAAAAATCGTTACACTAATAAAAGACGACGTGAGGAGCGCGGGCAATGAGCTACAGCGGCTAGGGCATAGCCACATGAATACAGAACGGAATGAAGGAACTAGAACGGAGAACTGGCAACAGCGCATGCGAGAAGTAAGGGGGGGCGAACACACCGCTCAAGCGCTACAACGCATTAGTGGCATCCTGTCCACACACTGTTGATATATACCGATTTGTGGCAAGGTGCCACAATTAAAAACTGGAATGTTAGATGTTAAAATGGAGTGTTCATTAAAAATATCGATGCACACATGTTTCTACCACCTTCCTTCATCCACTGGTGGCCGCAGTTTGAAAGATGCCACAATTAGGTGTTTACGAGTATGCGGTAAAACCCCGTAGGTGTGGGTATGTGTGTGTGTGTGTTGGGGAATAATACATTGTGAGGTCCGATGTATGGATACACACCAACAACGTGAGCTCCGTTTTCAATATGAGCTCCGACCCCCCGGAGCTCGGATTGAGAAAGCCTCTGATTCGTTGTCCTGATGACTTCAGCATCATGGAAATACCCGAAATAACTCGAAATAGGTCGGACCTCACTTTATTGCTTTTTACCAAAGTGTGCGAGTGCAAGAGCTTCCTAAAATCGACACCACGTCGCGCTACGATCGCGTTTACACTCCTCGATGCACACCAACATGGTTCCATACAGTCAATGTGAGTTCCGCCATTGTTCTGACTTCCGCTCCGCATTTAGTTGTTTTCAGTGCGTTATTCTCGAATTGCTAGTGCCAGAACGCGATCCAGACTATCCATCAATGTCGTGTTTATACGCACGGAGGAGGGGGGAGGTAGCTTCGTCGTCAGCATAACATTGTTGTAGTTTGTTGCGTTCTCCAGTTGTGTTTACCGCTGGAAATAAAATAGACTGTAAATGAAGATAAGGATAAATGACATAAACCAAAGCCTTCTTTGAGGGTAGAGTAATGATTTCCCCGAGCAAAGCTCAGTACCCTGGTACTTAGTTATTATTCTAGTTGCTCTACCAATTCTCCGAATCAGTAATCGATAGTCAGCCATCTTGAAACAGCTGTTCCGTCGTCTGTTCTTTAAAATGCTAAATTGTCTACTTCATTTGATCTATGATTGTATCCACAACTAACTGTTTACATTTCATTTCCGTATTAAGTTTTTTTTTTTTTCGGGACGTGATTTTTATTTCCTTCCCGATTTTGGGGTAAAAAAAACTAGGTTAAATATTATTGCAGATAGCAATAATATTGAAAAAAAGCATCGTACTAAAAACAATAGGTTAAATATTATTGCAGATAGCAATAATAATGAAAAAAAGCATCGTACTAAAAACAATTTTGTATAGAAATTAAACAAGTAACAAGATCTGTTGTTTACTAAACAAATTTAATTTTTGGTTCAATTAACTATGAAACATCAATCTAATTATAAACCACCACATGCTAACCTTAAATAGAGACGTGAATACGACACGAATACAACTACATAAAAAACTTGAGTCTGAGACATGGTTACTTGTAAAAAAGCAATGGAGTATAGCAGGCCCAATCCTAAATATTTTAACACGTGCCTATCACAATGTCATTATTTTTGCATGACTTTAATCCTCAATTGAGACATCATTGTGAAGATCACCCGTGATGACGGAGCCATCGTGACCATGTTCGTGGCGCTATATTCAGTTGTCCAGGTGTTTCAGCAGTCAACACTCGCAATCACGGCGCCTGATCCACAACCATAGATCTCTATACAGGGTGTTTTTTTAAAAACTTGCATCTTTATTTATGTAAAAACCGCAATAGATAGAAATATGCAGTTTGCGGGAATCATCTATTGACGTAGGGGGACCAATTGTTTTGAATTCAACGTTACATTCACATTCCCCCCTTTCCCCCCCTGCCCCCAACTTAATTTTTTTAAATAGCAAGGTACCCCTTGTGACATATCAAATAAAAGAGCATGAAAAAAGAAAATGTTTGATGAAAAAAAAATTAAAATCGGTTCATAAATTTGTGAGATATTCCCCCCTCACCCCCCCGGAACTTAATTTTTTTTTAATAGCAAAGTACCCCTTGTGACATATTAAATGAAAGAGCATGAAAATAGAAAAATTTTGGCGAAATTTATTTTTCATTTGATATGTCACAAGGGCGGGTACCTTGCTATTAAAAAACGAGTTATGGGTAGGGGAAAAGGGGGGTGATTATCTCACAAATTCATGAGCCGATTTTAAATTTTTTTTCACCAAAAATTTTCTTTTTTCATGCTCTTTCATTTGATATGTCACAAGGGGTACTTTGCTATTTAAAAAAAATCAAGTTCCGGGGGGGTGAGGGGGGGAATATCTCACAAATTTATGAACCGATTTTCAATTTTTTTTCATCAAACATTTTCTTTTTTTATGCTCTTTTATTTGATATGTCACAAGGGGTACCTTGCTATTTAAAAAAATTAAGTTGGGGGCAGGGGGGGAAAGGGGGGGAATGTGAATGTAACGTTGAATTCAAAACAATTGGTCCCCCTACGTCAATAGATGATTCCCGCAAACTGCATATTTCTATCTATTGCGGTTTTTACATAAATAAAGATGCAAGTTTTTAAAAAAACACCCTGTATAATACAACAACTCTGTATTATATAGAGATCTATGTCCTTAACACACCCCACGCGTCAACATCGTCAACATGTCCCCAATGACCTATACAGTTCATTGAATGTCCCGCGGTCAAAGCACCATCGCTTGTGAGCACGGTGCCATTATCAACATTTCCCGCGTTCACGACACCATCGCCAACATGTCCCTCGCTGCCCACGCTCATGGCGCGATCATCATCATGTCTCACGGTTGTGGCACCATCGTCAACATTTCTCACAGTCGTGGCGTAATCATTTACATGTTTTGCGGTTACCATACCATTGTCAACACTTCTCGGTTATGTAGCGGGTCATGGCATTATACTTGTTTTGCGGTCATGGTACCAACGTCAACATGTCTCATGGTTACAGTGTTATCGTCGACGTTTTTGCAGTCACGGCGTTAACCGTCTACGTTTCTTACACTCACGGTGCCATCGTTGACATGTCTCTTGGTCACGGTGCTAACTTCAACATACCTCGTGGCACAGAAAACATACTAAGAACGTTTTCTGTGCTCGTGGTTACTTCGCCAGCATGAATATCTCCCGCGATTACGGAGACATCATCATCGTCTCCTGGGTCCGCCAAACATCGTGAAATTCTCTCGCAATCACGGAAGTCTCACCATCGTCACTCACGACGCAGCTAATCCCGTCCCGATGATCGGAAATATGTTTTCCACGAAAATTGTCTGAACTGTCGGGAACCATCTATCCATATTATGCAATGTACCTATTGTAACATTGGTCATTCACGGAGCATAGCACGAGGGGATTCTAATTAAGTATATAGCCTACCTGTAGGTTGCTTGGCTTCAACATTTTAACCTTGTCGGTTCGGTAGATTCAGTGTTTAACCAGAACAGCAAACAGACCACCCCCTTTTTTATGATTTTACTACCAGGAGATCAAGGCTTGCTCGGTTGTGGTTAATTGGGTTTAATCGTTAAAACAATATCATACACAGGACCCACTTTACAATCTATAATATTAAAACGAAACAGGGTTTTTTATTTCACGATTCTGAATCAACCACTTGACGGTTTTTCATGATTTTTGTGTTGAAAGAAAGATAATTTTGAGAACTAGGGAATGTCGAAGCCATAATTTTAGTTCAGGGTTTCAGTTTTTTAGAAATTAAGTTTCAATTTTTAAAAAGTCTAGCAGCCGACGCTAGCAACTTAAAGTATTTTCAAAGCTGGTTTAACTAACAGCTGGTTTATAACTGTCATTGAAATGTTTATGTTACGAGTTGTTTGTTTACAAAAATATTGTTCGTTGGTGTTTGCCTACATACTATCATTGACTATTGGATACAGAAGAAGACATCCCATCTATATGGATCAGCTGTTGCCAATTTTTTTACTATAAAAGAATTTAGTTGTGTGAGCTAGTCACAGATTGCGCTAGTGTCTAAAACTCTATTTTGTACCTTATTTTTTGTTACTGACATAGTTGCTGGGTCACGACAGTTGCTAAGCTCATAATAAGTCATTCCATCAGTTTGAATTGGTAAAAACCATCATGTAATCGGTATAAACCAGTAATTTAGATCAGCGCATTCTGTAGGTGGCTCACATCAACTAAGACAAATTTTATTAAAAACCTGGCTACAACTTTAATATGGAGATGGTACTATTTCACTTTAAGGTAGTTTTCCCCTACCGTGAAGGATCTGCGTTTTAAGGAAATGTGTTATTTTGAACTAAACCTCTCAAACACTTGCGTTTAATCAAGTTTTTTACCAGAACCTAATGACCAGAACAATAGCTATGAGAAAGCCTCCAATAAAAATCTCTTCTGGTGATAACAATAAAGTAATATGTTTATTATTATTATCTGGCAATCCTGTGTCTGGTTATTTTGACCTACTTATTTCAAAATCTAAAACATGGGAAATAGATACAGACAGCAAGTATTATAGTGTTATAGATTCAGAAACTAATCAAAACAAATGTACTGAATGTGATATTATTTTCAAAAGTCATACAAAATTCCTCAATCACTTGAACAAAGACCATTCTAAAAAATGTAATGATTCATTGACAATTCTTAATCCACCTAAACACACCGAATGCAGATCTCCTGATTATCTATCAAAATATTTTGAAGTAAATCCAATACAATCCTCTAAAGATCAAGTACCATCTATATGGTTGCCTCGCTGGGAAAAGATCGTTAATCTTAAAAGATTGCAATATAATTTGCCAAATGGATCCATTGGTGACAAATTTGTATAATTACTAGCGGAAGAAATATTATTGCTAGCAACTGGAAAAGAAACCTCTGAAAGAGTAATATGTTTCACTGCTGTTATTTTGCAATGAGAAAAAATTATAAAACAAACAAAAGACATCAGAAGACTAATTGATAGAAGAATTAATGAGTGGAAGGAGGAGAGGTATGATGACCTTATAAATGAGGCAATCCAATGCGATAGATCTTTAAAGAACAAGTGTAAAAAACTTAATACAAATGAACAAAAACAGTTTACAGAAACTTATTTCAACAGACTTGTTCAATGTGGAAAAATAAAAGATGCATCAAGAGTAGTAAACCAAAATATGGTAGGAGGAATCCTTAATCCTAAAAATTATATCGGTGAATCCAACACTACAGTTTATGAATTATTAAAAGAAAAACATCCAGACCCAATAATTCCAAACAAAGATTTACTAAAACTACCTGAAACCATGAGTGAAGTTCCCAAACTAGAAAACACAGAAATAACAGCAGAGCATGTTGAGAAAGTAGCAAGACAACTTCATGGAAGTGGCGGGCCAGGAGGAAGCTCCTCAGAAAATTGGACGGATTTCTTGTTAAGACATGGAAAGAAAAGTGCGCTGCTGAGATCATCAATAGCCTCTTTAGCCATGAAAATGAATGGAGAAATAAAATACCTTGGTATAAAATAAGAGCCTTAATGGCAAATAGATTGATAGCCATTGACAAATGTCCCGGAGTGAGGCCAATCGGAATTGGAGAATGCCTAAGACGAATCATAGCTAAATGCATGATAGTAGCATTTGGTGATGATGCAAAACATGAAATCAGAAATCAGAATGTTTTTATTGTCCTTCAGCATTACAAACATGCAATAGACAAAGTCAAAGTTTGATACATTACAAAATTTAGGCTATATACAGTATCAGAGTCAACGTTTAAAAGCTAACAGTTTTAAAATCGTAAAATTCTCTAAGGCTATAAAAAGGATTTTTACACAGCCAGTCATACAACCTTACTCTAAATACTTTTTGGTCCAGGGATTTACTGCTTTCAGCTAGCTTATTATACAACTTAAGACTAACAATATTAAAGCTACTTTGACATTTACTTAACCTAGTGTATGGTAACTCAAGTAAGGATTGGTTTCTGGTATTGTGTTCATGTAAGTCTGATCTGAAAACTAAAGAACCTATGCCATAATCTCTTTTTACATTTACTAAACAAACAAATATATACAGATTTATCACAGTCAAAATTTTACTATTACTAAACAAGGGTTTACAATCATCGGTAAAATACGCCTTATTTATTACTCTAAGAGCCTTTTTTTGGATTAATAAAACTTCACTGACATGACAACTATTTCCCCAGAGAATTAGGCCATAACTTATCACAGACTGGAAAAATGCAAAATAAGCTATTCTAACATACGAATCAGGTACAATGTTCATCAAGGACTTAAGCAGGAAAATTACTCTAGACAATCTTACACAAACAGATTCAATGTGAGCCTCCCATGATAGCGTACTGTCAACTACAATACCAAGAATTTTGATGTTGATGTTTAGGTACTAATCTACTCATTTGCCATTAAGGCATGCTTTAGGTACTAATCAACTATGTGGAGGCCTAAAATCAGGCATAGAGGGAGCAATACATTTTATGCAAAATGTTATGGATGAGAATTTTGACAGTACAAATGAATGGTGCATGATATTAGTTGATGCTGATAATGCCTTTAATAAAATTAACAGAGCAAATGCATTGTGGCAAGCAAAGTTACATTGGCCTAGAGCTGCCAGATTTATTTACAACACTTATCAATGCAACGCAGACTTGATAATCCCTGGAACAAGTAAAAGACTGTTCAGCAAAGAAG